AATATATTTAATCATTTATATTATTAAATTTATATTTTATATATTAATAAATTAATAATTTGCTACACAGTATTGGATTCCATAGACATTTCTGATAAAGAAAACATTCAATAGGAATATCTGTTTCCGAAGAATCCAATACTGCGTAGCAAGTTCCTGCTGGCTAAAAGGATTTTCACATAAAAACAGTATGTGTAAAATACTTACGTCAACTCTTTCTCAAACTTTAACAATTATTTAGTACAATTAAAGAGTATGAAAACAAGAAGACGTTTGTCAAAAGGTGAATTATCGATAATCTCCCTTATCTATTGATACTTCAAAAATGAACTTCGTGCTCTCAGTTTTCATGTAATACCTCATTTTCCCAAAATCAAGCATTTTTACGAAAATTATTTTTCGGAAACGGTACGTAATAGAACATCTCTGCTATTCGTTTTTGACATGAGAAACTCTATAAGAATCACGTAGTGGATATTACAAAAGGTATCTCGTGTTGTCAGTGTTATTTGCAATCCTAATTTGCATTGATTGTAACTTTTGTTTCATAATAGTATCGACGAACGACAAGAAACGGCACTTTTTTCTAGTATTACATTATTCACCGTGATAATGATTCATACATGAGTAAATATTTATTCGTTATTTCGTTTACATAATGCCTGAATTTCAAATTTAATACAGCTTGTTGCCAAACAAAGATTATATAATATGTATCTATATCATATTACAGTTTCCTGAAAAAGGTGTTAAACTCACTTAAAATTCACCTACCATGAGCAGTAATTACAATCTCTTGCTTATTGAAGAAAAAAAATCTCTTCAGCGTCGATGGAAAACTTCGATTTAGTCAATTACTAACTTTAAATAATTATCACACAGAAGTCGAGACTTTTCGAATGCTGACCACGTACGGGGAACACTTATTGTAATAACGAGGATCCGGCACTGCACGAGAAGCCGCCGCTCGAGCCGATGGTTCGCGCGAGACTGCCGACGATTGGCGTGCAATCCGGCTTCGTAACTTCCTTCGATGCTCTCCTTGTCATCCACGCTTCCTGCCCGATCGACTCCTCGTCGATCGGCGCACGTATCACCTTAAACCTCACATCCTACCCACCTGCATGCCTCCTTCCGGATCACGTGAAACCGTACGATCGTTTTCCGTCTGCCCGTACCGGCAGGATGTCGCGATTCATCATTCGGTGAGGCGTCACGCGTATAATTAAAAATCGTAAGATACTCCTGATTGTATAGGGAAATAGTTTTCAAAACTTTGCTGACTAGGTTTGAATCGTTTATTATTAAGAAGACACTTTTTTTAAATTTTACAGGCTGTTGTAAAATTTAAGTTTTGCTAAAGTGGAATTTTGTCGAATTTTTAAATTGTAGTTATAAGGACAAATCGAAATACAAATTTCATGATTTTTTGAGAATATTGGTAGTTTTTAGAGTGATATGGAAAGTTGGAAGATTGGATGAAAGGGGAATAAAGAACAGCGTAGCTTGTAAAGTACGGATGGGAACATTAACACTATTTCTACTTGAGACATCAAAGGACGTCTTTTTAAATTCTCGCTTAAAATTATTTTCATTAGTCTAATCGTTCTTTCGATAGGAAATATTCAAATTTTTAGGATTACCATTTATGTTTTTACATTTGTTAACAGTGCAGCTTGGTATTTCTGTCATTCTCATCAGTTTTTATTTCTGAGAACAGTAAATAGTAACTTCTCAATATGTCCCTCGTATAGAACACGCAGAAGGTAACAAAAATGGTACCACTGGAAGAACACATCTTATGTATTTCCACCCTGTTGTAATCGAAATCAATTGTCTATCTCATAAAGATTCATTATTAACACTAGATTGCCCAAGGAAGTCATTTTGACTGCTTTTGGGCAAA